AGTATAAGCGATTATTTTTGCTACATATGGCTGGATTTGTTCAAAAAGTGCGATTATTACCTAAAAAACCATGTGGGAAATATACTATTGCAGGATCGGACTGGTTCGCGCCTGAGGGCGTAGACCCACGGCTGGTTAAAGGGGTATAATGTGATATTTCCGGGTAGGGCAACCCCTACGTGGTGAGGGGCTCAGAAAATTTTGGCAAAGCAGCACAAGTTTAGTCTATTTTCAGATTCAAAAAATATTAATCGTACCGAGTGAAAATTGCAAAATTGAACGTATTGAAGTAACCGATAGACTTCTGAAATTAAAGAATGCATAAAAAATTAAAGCCACTAAACGCATCCAAGCACCATTATTTCCAAAAGAACCGAGCCAGTGCTCCGGTTTACACGAGCTTATAAGACGTGGGTCTGAAGAAAGAACGAGCATCAACACAGCCGAAGACAGGCAAGACGTATTCGGGCCTCTTTTTAAACTTTTCTCCCGAATCTGAGCGACAACTCATTGACAGCATGTAGCAGAGCATTGAGAGCGCACGCTTCGCGTCACCGCGCCTTCAATTTTTCAGATGCAGCACGGACATCCATCAAGTACGAATAGTTGTATCTCTGCGCCGTCGTTAACGCGCATCCTTTCCCTCGCTTTATTTCCATATTGTGTTTGTTTGCGTTTATTCGTGATGGTGCTTCAAACTAGTAGCATAGAGCAGAACATTGCGAGCTCACGACTCGCGCCATCGCGTCTTACATTTTTCATATGCAATGTGGACATCCATCTTGCGCGAATAGTTGTATCGCGTTTACACTTTAGATGTCTCTTATTTTTGAATTTCAAGATAAATTAAGGTTCAGTTTGCCCGAGATGCTATGATATGTCCAAATCAATAGTCATTTTGAAAAGGAAGATATATTTTTAAAGGCCTCTTAAGAGGTCTATAAAGGGTCCGTATGTCTAAAAATTGAATCAACATCGCTTCTAAGGGAGTTACACATAGCGAATGAAGGAGGGGATGATAAAGCGCCTGAATGTCAACAAAAAGGTGAAAATTTCATAGAAAAGTGTTTACGCTTCAGAAAGTAGTTCTTGGACCTCTGTTCACCACGGAGCTAGGTCATTTTTCCTAAATTTTTTTTCCTACATCAGGTTTTCCTAATACTTTTTTCCTACTCGTTTTTTGTCCCATCACAGTAAGGCCTACGAGTGAGATGTCCCACTGGTTTTTTCCTAAGGGTGTTTGTCCTAAATAATCCAATAATAATTGAAACGTAAACATGAGTAGAGTAGAGGGAAATTTTTCAGAAGGAGTAAAGTTTTCTCAGCGAGCCGAATATGAGCGCGTGAACGAACAGGAGACATCGCAAGCTGATCCTTCTTTACCCTCCATATAAGGAGGAGGATGAAGCTCCACTACTTACGGGCATGCGGCCACAACTTTAACTTGTGAGGTACCTATGTTGTTTTTTTACTTCCTCGATCCCCTAGTTTTAAAATTGAATTTAGGACAAATGCTCCTAGGAAAAAAGCCAGTAGGACATCTCACTCGCAGGACTAACTGTGATGGGACAAAAAACGAGTAGGAAAAAAGTATTAGGAAAAATTGCAGTAGGAATTAATGTTTTAGGAAAAATGACTTGCCACCGTTCACCACTATCATGCGTAAAAGCACCTTTCTTTACTCCCAACTCTCTCTTCTCCCGTTCATTTAAGAAATTTTCCTCATACATTCTCGGTCGTAATTTTTCTCTCCTCTTATTTTGCTATCTGTCAGAAGGGCGCGTTTTCGGCGCGCTAAGGGGGCGTATCTGCCAATGGCAGATTGGCCTTATGGCTAGTCCGAGCCTGTACCATTGATTACAAAGTCCGTGAAACTGGGTTAATCGGTGATAACATTTGTCTTAATCTCTGACTTCATATTCCATGAATGAAGTGACCAGATAACAATGCTACAAAAAAAAATTAAAATTAAGAATTTTCAATAGAAATATGTACACATTTCGAAACTTAATAATTATTTTGCCCAAAGCTTTGAATACTTATCTAATCTTCGACGATAATTGACAGAATACAATAGGTAGGTATTATTTTAAAAGCTGTACTAGTTGGAAAATATGTCTCTCCGTTTGCGACGTTGCAAATCATCCTTGATTTTTTATTTTTTGAGATAAACTTAACGAATCGGTTTTTCTCAATTTTCCCTGTAAATCATTTCCAGGAAATTGCAAGGAGACGTTTTGATTAATAGGTCCTCATCTTTAAAAAAATATAACATACAAGGCAATTTTGAAAATAATGTCAAGACTGTACTTTTCCAACGTGTATCCAAGCGTTCCTTATCGAATCTCTCGCAGTTCAAAAACGACCATCTCGAAAAAACGAAATTTTTCATAAGAGACGACAAACACTGCGCAACAGCCAGAAAAGGAGTGTCTCCACGCAGAAAAAATGAACATCGTGAAGAGCATAGTTGGGTTGTTTTCGAACTCAGAGAATCATACAAGCAGCAAAATCTTACGGGTCGCGGTGAAATCTAGAAAATTGCGCCGAAGTGCATTGCATTAAGTATAGGTGTAGCACATACACCCGTCGATCCAAGCCAAAGCCCACTTCAAAGGTGGAGGAGAAAGAGGAAATTAGATAAAAAAGATAAGATAAGCTCAGCACAGCTTTCAATGATTTGCTGTAAACAATTTACCACCTGATTACGAGAGCATAATAATATAGTGATCCTTATCACAGCTTTCGAGTCAAAGAACTCGCGACTTTGACGACTCTTCCAATGAGCGGCTCAAGGGTGGACCCATCTGCTCATGTCCCGTTTTTCCTTATCATGTGCAACGATTACAATAAGAAATTGAAGAATAGCCGCCCGTTACGTCATTGGTGTGCCTTCACGAGCATGACCCAACTGTTGAGCCCGGCTGAAACGAAATGACATGTTGCCGAATTAGATTTAGATTAAATTTGCACTTTCATTGAGGTACGTGGTGTAGTTTAAGTGTGTCATTCGTCACTCAAGTTAGCAACGGCGATTGGAATTCGTTCAAATGCGAGATGCCGAATTTCGGAGGAAAATCAAATTGTTATTTAATTTAAGTAAAGAATCCATAAAAATAGTTTAAAATTATGATTCTCAATTCTTTAGGTGAAAATTGAATACACATAGGGCAGGGTACTTGAGAATGTTGAGAAAAAATGCGGTAAATCAGTCTGTGAAGATTTATGGGTCATCCATAAAATACCGCAAATATACTAATTTCATGCAAAAATATGAGGGAAAATGATGTGCTACTCCATGAAGATTTTACATTGGCGTTCGTGGATTTTTTAAGACCCATTAAGGGGACATTTATTTTCAGGAAAGCTATAAAAACGGTATTTTTCGTGCCTTCCGATGGTCGGCGATTTTTACATTGGCATTCGAGGATTTTTTTAAGGTCGATTAAGGGGACATGAATTTTGAGGGAGGCTATGAAAGCAGTACTTTTCTGCTCTCCAATGGTCGGAAAGTCCTATAATTGCATGATATTTCAGCTTTTTGATGGTAGCTACTCGTATTTCTCTTTTTCATCCTCGCAAAGGCAAAGTAAAATATCGAAATATATACATATCAATGGACGAAGCGTGAAACCACGTATTTTTATCACAGCGATTCAAAATTTCCGTTCCTCTTTTATTTTTTGGAGGAGAAACAAGCCAGCTTCATCGCTTGAAATTCATAAAGAATTTTCCGCTGACAAATAAATGAAATCAAGGGAGTTTTTAAATACTTACGTTGACAAGTTTTTCAAAGAAAAAGTAAAGTATAACAAGAATTCTGCAACGTCGCAAACGGAGGTACGTGGCTCTGCACTTTAGCCGTCAATATTGTACTAAAGAATAGCAAAGTTTCAGATTAAAATTAGTTACGCATGGAGCTACAAATTATTTATCACAGGATTTATTTGTCGCAGGGAATCGGTAATTGCCAATTTGCAAGCCACCAACGGACAATTAGATAAAGATATAATTCAGAAATAAAATAACAAGATTAGAAAGCTTATTTTTCCTTCATGTTAATAGACACTTTTTTCGCCGCGATAAAATGATGGTAGCAGCCACACTGAGGAAAACGAGTAGTAAAATCCATGACCCGAGTTAAGTTTGGATCGGACAGGCAACTAAACTAACTCCGTGGCAATGCGTTGAGTATCACAAAAGTTGAAGGCGCTTCAAGCCGAGTTAGCGCTTTTGGAGGATATCACCCATCAAACATTCATTGCGCTGATGCGCAGGATTGTAATTTATAGAATCAACATGTCAGGCACTTGTAAATGGCCAGGGATGCCAATTGTCTGCGACATGTCGATGGCTAAAGTGCAAAACCGCTTATCCTCCTTAGACTGTTTCAAAATCCCGCTCCTATTTTATTTTTCCAGAGAGAAACAGTGAAAAACTCAACGTGATTTCTTTGAAAATGCCTGGATTTTTCTTCTCTGGTTGCAGAATTTGTTGCATTAAGTCCGAGCTATAAGGTTGGCTTGTTTTCTCTCGATAAAAATAAAAACGTTGCGGAAATTTTCAAAACAATGGCGATACATGGTCTTGCACAGTCGCACTCTGGCCATCGAATTATAGGTAATGTAAGGTGACTTGACTAAACCAAATATACTTTCAAAATAGAATGTAAATTCTTTAGAAATAAAGGATAATTAAGGAGGACCAGGATAGCGTTTAAATCAGCACAAAAGAAGTATGCCACTCATAATGTATGTTATTAAATCTGTTCCCTCTTTCTTGTCCTTCTTTCTAAGGGGACATAAAAATCCTTACTTCGTTTCTGCTTTTAGTTTTAGAATCCAAGCGGTGACAGCCCGACTTGGCAGCAGCGCCTGTCGGTTCAAAAGTTGAAAGAACGCCAATTGCGGGAGCTTATCGTAAAATTAAGTCACTTGTGTGGATCACACCGCGCAGACCGCTTGTTCGCTCTCAAGTTTCGGGATTTTCGGGAATAGGTACGTCAGTTCCGCGTCCACGTGTGAGCTCATCCCGGGATTTTGTTCCAGCACACAACAATCGGATTTCCAGGTGAGTTTTTTCAGTATTGACATTTCCGCGCACAGCACGTGCTCACTCTACGTACTGTGCGTCCGTGAAATTTATTGAAAGTGAAATATACACTCGGGAAAACATATACTTAGAATCCAAACTTATTGTTCGACGAAATATGTCATGTTGTGTAAAGGTGATCAAATTATGAATTGCTACTGTAACTTTCTATTATTTAGCGACCGCGATCGGATTTAATTATACTATGTTAAAAACACTTCCTCCTCTTAGGTACAAAATTTATGTATGCTGAGTAATTAGGTAGGTAAAGTTTTGTTTAACTCGCACTACTTTGGCTTAAAATATTTTTTCGAGAATTCATTGTGGCTGTAGGTATACGCGACCTACATTGCAGTTTTAATTGATGAATGTGCAACTAAAAAGTTCGGAGACTTTTCTACAGAGTAGACCAATTATTTATCTATACTATAAGCTCCAAGACCTCCNGCGATCGGATTTAATTATACTATGTTAAAAACACTTCCTCCTCTTACAAAATTTGTGTACGCTGAGTAATTAGGTAGGTAAAGTTTTGTTTAACTCGCACTACTTTGGCTTAAAATATTTTTTCGAGAATTCATTGTGGCTGTAGGTATACGCGACCTACATTGCAGTTTTAATTGATGAATGTGCAACTAAAAAGTTCGGAGACTTTTCTACAGAGTAGACCAATTATTTATATAACTATACAGCTCCAGTGCCAAGTAAGAAATTAAAGTAAACAAAAATAATTTTCAAAGAAAAAACTAACTAAATCATTTTGAATAATTCTGCTTTGTGGGTTCCCTGACAACTACACTAACACGATTATATTTAAGTTCATTAATTCTGTAAATTATTAAAAAAAAGTTAAAGAAATTATTTAAGTTTGTTAATTCCGTTTTATTTTAAGTTCAATAGAGAATAGAATACAATTAAGGAGAAAATAATCCGTTATGAAGGCGGCATTATCATCAACTTCTAATTGAACCGTACCTAAGCTTTGCAGAAAATTAGTACGTGAGAGAAAAATAAATAGTAACAAAATTAACATACAAATCATTTTAAACCAGTCGTATGCCTGTTCCCCCTATCATCTGAAACGAGCAGAACAATTCAAGGAGCTACTTGACATGGTGAATTTTATTAGAATAATTATGTAAGTAAGGAAGAAGGGATGATAAACGAAAAAAAAAAATAAAATGAAACATAAAAGTAAACAAAAAAGAAAGCCTCAAGAGATAAACAAATAAGCATGACTTACGTTATCATCGATATCAATGGTTACCTACACTGGAAAAAAACCACATTATATCTAGAGTCCAGACCCCTAAAAACATCGACAAGAAAAAATACTCTTGATTCAATCGGATTTTTGCTGAAATCAAGAACCAAGCCTCTTAATTGGAGCGGATTTCCTTTTGATTTAAGCTAAAATCTGACTGAATCAAGAGTATTTTTTCTTGTCAATGTTTTCAAGAGTCTGGACTTGAGATCCAATTTGTTTTTTTCCATTGTATACCTACTTTGATTTAGAGAAGGTAGGTAAAGTTGAATAGTGCGTCACAACTCCGAGTTTGGCGCTTTTTTCTTCGTAGATGAAAAAAAAAGTGTAACAGGCACGGAACGTTTGCACTTTCAGTTTTTCCTCTCATGCTAAACCCGGCTATTTTCCGATGAATTTTTTTCTTATCTCGACATTTCATGGATTTCGAGCTTTATCAGAACGTGCAATCTCACACATGCGTTCAGGAAAAAGGTGAAGCATTTCACGTTACTAGAAAACGTTGTTCCTAACGAAGTATCCTGCTTTAATTCCTTTAAGTCCGGAATTAAAGCGGCGAAACTTCGGCTGAAAGTCAATTACTTTTGAGATAAATGCATAAAAACTAGACCCGGTTCATCTCAAATGATGAAAAGTTTGGATTTCTCTCTTTCCGTACCTCCGTCTTAATAATGTGAATATTTTCCACGGGAGCTTTCCACCCCCTATTAATATATAGTAGGCTTCATCACCAGCGGCTTGGCATGTTTTGCGATATATCCATTGATTTGCCATTTGAACCTATGGAAAAGGATCGATGGATAGCGTGTTCCCAATGAACACCTTAATAATCGATCTTTTACTATAGTTTCAAAAGGGAAACATCGATAGTCGATCATTCACACCTCGCCACTGTTTAGCACCGTATATCATCCATTGGTTTGTCGTGTTTCTGGTGTGGGGGAGCATAATTCAGAAAGAGGAAGTACGAATTCATGGGGTGAGCAATAGTATGCGGTATGCGGCATGCGGCATGTTCAGAGATGGAAAATTTCATGAAAATTCGCGTGAAATTTCATGAAAATTCGCGTGAAATTTCATGAAGTTACATGACATGTTTTTAAAATATTTAGGGGTGCATTCTGAAGGCCAAGAAACGCCTGAAAACAGTGATCCTCGATTTCAAGATTTTTCAACCCCCTTCTCATGTTGCCTTACTCCATTTTCTTCTAACAGTTCAATTTTCAACATATCTTTGAATCCAAATTGGACTGCATTTTGCAATTATATGAACTATAAAATTTCCGGTTCATCCCTGAATACTCATATGTGTATAAGGGAGCTAGGGGTACATAGGTATGTTGTTTCCAAACTGTGAGAAATTGGAGTTCCTAAGTACAAAATGTAGTCCAATTTTTTGCAATGCATTGACACTCGAGCGCCACCGCAAGAAAAATTTCCTTTGAGTTCCAGCATTGGAGGTACTCAAGTAAGAATAATACTTTCCAGAGAGGGATCAACCACATGATCTCCCAAGCCTAAAACTTTTTGCGGAAACGGAACTCTCAAGTTGGGTCCATGAAACGAACTTCAAGTTTTCGACTGAAAAGTAGTTTTCCAAAAAATGAATCACAAAACGGTTCAATTTATTTCTATGCATGCTCATCATATGAGTGTGAAATTATATTTTAATTTAAAAATGTAGAGTCTATGAACACGGTGGATTAAAAATTTGAATGGCTTTTCTCAGAAATACGTAAGTAGTTTGCAATGCAAAGATAAAACCATCGTGACTTCAAACAGGGCCGGATTTACCTACTTGCCGCCCATGGGCCGCTTGTATTTTACCGCCCCCTTCTCATTCGCTTTGAAACATCAATAAAACCATCGAGTGAACATGCCAGAAGGGGAGGGGAGGGGTGCATAAGACGCGTTAAATCGTGATGGACACTTTTTTTGCGAAAGCCCTGTCAACACCACTAGCAAAAGTTCACGGAACTTTGCGTGAAAGTTAAGTCTCGTAAACCTATCGCTGTGTAGACAACGCTTTCCATTTATAAGAAATGAACGAAAAAATTATGAAATAACAAACATAAATGTGGTTCAATAATCTTAACCCCCGCCGCCGCGCTACGCTGACCTCACCATGTTTTGCGCAATGCGTGAAGTATTCCCACAGTCTTGCAGGCGCTATGCGTCTCACGCCGACCGCTGCGGACCGTACTGTGTTTGACGCAATGCGTGAAGTATCCATACAGTTTTGTAGGCGCTAATACGTGCCGACCGCGGGCCGCGTCGCGGGCTTCTCCTTTTCATGTGAAGTCTTCGTTATCATTGCTCTCTGCGGCGCGCCGTTCCAGGCCAAATTGCGTGTTTGGTTTCTCTGTTAACTCGACTAATTAAAGGTGCTGTTTCTTGTGTCATCGAAAGACGACAAAATTAGAAATTGCCATGCCTTTACTCTCAGGAAATGAGAGACTCTATGGCTTTTTCTAGTTCGTAATTTTGTTTCTGAATCCGATTTTTTTTATGCCTACATCTGAAAACATTTCAAAATTTGCCGCTCCCTAAATTTGTCGCCATGGGCCACGGCCCATGTGGCCACCCCCTTAATCCGGCCCTGACTTCAAACTATCATAACTTCAGTTTGGTTTGGAGTTTTCGAGCGTTCCGTGTGTCAAACTGTTTGCGAAGCACTCCTTTAAGCAATAATGGCTCAGTTTGGAGTTTTCCCGTTGTTAGTCATACTTTTGACGGTGAAATTACCAAACTACTTTTTTCGTTTCCGGTGTTTTAAAATATCCGCTTTCGTGTTACTTTCTGTAAGGAGAACAAATCAAAATCATTCCTTGAACTTTTCACAGACCTTCCTTCACACGGAGAAGACATACCTATCACACTTATCATGGAAGTTTTTACAAGATTTCACGTCGAGTAACTTTCCATGTAAGAAATATATTAAGTATAACAGGAGGGCTGCGACGTCAAAACTTCGCCTCTAAATCAATTAAACTCATGTGCGAGCTATACCAGCAACTGTTAGGTAGGTATTATCAGAAAGTAATTGATTTCCTAGAGCGAAAGTTAAAAAAGATAAAGCGTATCAAATTCGATTCACTTGGAGTGAAGTTTTCCACCTGAATAAGAATCTCCTCAAGTCCCCCTGCCACCGTCTCGCCGATTTGCATTTATACACTTTTGAACAACTTTGTAGAAAAAAATAAGTTGTGCTGAAAAAAAATTAACTTGTGCGGTTCAAAAACCTTATCTGGCGCTTCGTCAAAATTTTGTCGGTAGGGCTCTTCGTTGAGTTTATTTTAAAACCAGGGGTGGGGAGGGGGGTACAGAGTGAAAACTTACGACGGTGAAAGGGGTGAGGCGCAAAGTTCGCTTCGATAAAAATTGAGTTTTACAAGAAGGGTTGATATAATCTTAGAAACTAAGTTGAAAGCACGTAACTTGTTTCCAAATCTGTGTAAACCCGCGTGGAGCCTACAAGATTGTTAGCTCTGATTCATATTGTGACCCCGATCATACTTCCGAGGACTCGATCGCGTCCCGCAGTTTACGTTAGGGACCCGGAAATCGTGGGAGGGGAGGTCGAGGGGTGCTTTTCTTTACATCCCCTTCTTTACAAAATCCATGTTTATCGTCGTCGTTTGTTTGCAAGGTTAAAAAAGTTTTAACAAAACCACGGATGACGTATAATTTTAGCGATTTCCTGTCCAGCCATATT